GCTGAACGGCGTAATACGCGGTCTAGTCGACAGACGGACAAGCAGAGGGACGTGGCAGCCCAGGCTTAGGATAAGATTGGCCTCACAGGATTGGATCTTGCCTCGGAGCTACACGCTCGACCGGCTATGAGGAACGGGTTGTGCAACCTGGTTGCAATCGGTCGGGAACGGGAACGGGAATGGAGAACTCTTCTGAGGCACGAAAAGTGAAATGAGAGATCCATCAGGCACGCGCGTTCCCTTTCGTTCGTTTACTTGTCCGATATCTTCGCGATAATGTATGCCACGATTATCGTGATTGATCCATGCCCTCGGATAAATAAAGTTAAATGTTTATCGGACAGAAAATCTGAATAATCTGTTTGTGAGTAGGTTGTCTAAATTTAATCAATGGTATAGAAAATGAACGTTCACAATGACGTGTGAAACATATAAACAATAAATGTACATAAATCATAGGTTCATTAAGGTTGTAAATTATCAGTTTGTTCAAATTATGAATTAACGATTAGTCTATAAAAATATGGTTAAAAAATATATGGTTTTAGAAAATCTAATGGAGCGAGATCGCCGTCGTGGTCCGCCATTCCAAACTTCACAAACGCCTCTGCTGAATTTTCTGTAAAAGCGATGGAGATCGATAGTTCACGCATAAACCGACGTTATTAATTCTCGATAACAGTAAATTGAATTTAGTTTATCCTGGAATTTCTATAACAATGGCCAATGGCTGGTATTTCGTAGAGATTCAAATAAAAATGGATAAAAATACATTTGTATGAAGTTCTTGTTCCGTCGTTTTTTATTTTCCAATCAATCAACATTTATACATTTATTGATCGGTTATTAAACGCAAATATGATATAAAATAAGTAAATACAATGTTTGCTTTAAAATAATACGTCTCTAAATAACTAATTAATAAAAAGTGTAATGTTATTCAATCATTTATTATTTGAAAAAGTATATGTTTCAGCAATTTAAATACGACACAAGAAGGAAAAAGTGCCAGTTAATGTTTTTTACTTAATAGGATTAAAATAGGATTTTATCATTACGTAGCTGTTAAAAATACGCCCGTTGGAGATGTGCTAATAGTTCGTCGATAATAAATTAAAAGCGGCGGAGACATGACGTTGAACCCGATTTCCACGTTAATTAGTGATGGAAATAACTCCCGGTCAACTGATGTCAATAGGTCTGACGAAAGTATCGTGAATTTTGCAAATTCCTACAAACGTCGAATTGTTGTCTGGAAAACTGCATCGAATATTTTTCCATCGTCGCTACACATGATTCTATACTCAATACTTCCAATGTTTTCATCTTTTATTATCGTACAAAATGCATTAAGTAAAAAATACTATAAGGCAGTATAATTTTTCAAAAAAAGAACTTTATTAATCAACGCATTTCTTCTAATTTATCTCTATCAAATCCCAACTTTAAAAGGAAACTAACAAACACTAATGATGTTTCGAATCCAAAGTTTTTCATGCAATGTGTAACAACGAGGTTCGATTTCGTGAAATAGTTTTCATGAAATCAAGTATTGAACGTGGAAACGTCTGATTGAAACGGCACCGTGCAAAGAACGTGGATAATGAACGTCTCTAAGGGGCTGAAAAATCCTTGTAGACAGGACGAGTATCCAACGACAGACGCGAGACGAGCAAGTGATTTATGGCCCGTGCTTTTAAGATCGCGAGGATCTCCCTGGAGAGACACCGGTTCGAATCGAGGTTAAGAAAGCGAATCGGGTGCTCCTTAAAGATTCTATACATTGTAATCATGATGAAAATTGTCTGCTTCACATTACGTTTGTACATGTCATGATTATACATCGATCGTTTACACAAATTTCCCTGTAAACATTATGAAAAAGCTATAGGATGTAAAAAATGTAGAATTCAATTAATAATTCAAATTCTCCTAACTAGAAAGATTGGACTGTAGTACGAGCTACGAGAAGTGAAATTGGGATAGACTACCGTAGACGGTGCTTTGTACACCTTTCTCTCCATTCTACCAAGTTTCACTTGAAAAGTTGAACTCTCGCATCCACTTCCTCGATTTCAATTATCGAACCTAAATACGTAATAGAACGGCTTGAATAGTTTATAAAACAGGAAGTACACGTTCCCAGTCCGACGAAGACAGGGGTTCGTAACCAAACATTATGTAATGAATTTTACTCATAAATGGTAAATCCACGACAACTATTTCTGAAAGCCGTCTTTGAACAAAAAGTTCAGCCTGAGAAACAATCATTCTATCAGACAGTACGTGTTCAGACTATTTAAAACATTGGTATCCGTTGCCATTCAGCGACGCTCCATGGTCGTCCGACGCGACGGCCAATAGCGAAATGGAAGCGAGCGAACGAGGAGAGTTGCTCGAAAGAGGTGAAAGTCTATAGCCGCGCAACCATGAGAAAGGGAGACCGCGGGATCCGACCATTCAGCCGGTGGCCCAGTCGTTGACTGGACGGTTCGTGAACGAGAACCGGTGAAGAGAGAAAGAGAGTCCAGTCCCGGTCTCAGCAACCGGGCTGGACTCGCTCCACTGGCTCTCGAACACAGCACGGAGCGGCGCATAGACGAGGATTCCGCTAACTTACTCATGGTACCGCTAGCTCCACGCTTGTATTTCCGCCAGACGTCCAATATCATGCTCCGAGCTAAACCATCGCTTCCGGATTTCCCATTTCCATACAATGATTCACTCATTGTGGATTGTGGATTGTGACCAAGATCCAGACTATCTGGATCCGATACTTAAGTTCGGAGAATTCAACATTCTTGATAACGATGCTTAACCGTTTCGTTCAATGTTCAACTATTTTTCATTGGATAATGTGATTACAAGTTCAAATTATTAACAAAATTCAGAAGATTGTATCTACTGTGAATTTATTAATAAAATTAAAAAACTGAGTACTATTCTTTATCGATGAAAGAGAGAAGAAATTTACGAAATCCATTTTCAGACAAACGTTTCATATTCTTAATTGAACATGAATATCATTAGTTTCAGGATGAACATTATATCGAAAATTGTAACAAAATTATGCAGATATTAAATGGAATTTATAATATTCCATACTTATAGATAAGATCATAATTTCATTGCGCATTTTATTCACATTTTCCTATATATTATCTCAATATCAATTTGACGCGGAGCAAATTGAGTTAAGAGAATGAGAAACGGATGACGGAGAGTTAACAAACGATAGCCAAGCGTCAGGCCGGTTCAAAGAACTCGAAGATAGCATGGCGAGGAGAGCCGAGAACCAAGAACCAAGCACGGATACCACTATACGTTGTTACTCACGGTACCGCTAGTCCAAGGTTGTTCGCATCCCGCGTGAGGCAGGCCGGGGTCTCGCCATGGTGCCCCATGTTCCGCGGGAACCCGGTTTTCCCTTTTACCGTTCCCTCGTGGGATCGAAGAAGAAAGCAGTACCGCGCCATTCTGCTTCTCCTTTCTCCCTCGCCTCAATTATTTACAGTCCTAGAACACTATTAGTTAACCTAATCTAATCTAATCCTTTTATATATCTATTCTACATATATTTTGCATTTAACACAACAACGGTATCTTGTATTTCAAACATCAGTCAGATCTAATCGATTATGGAAAACAAAGTTATTTTTACAATTCCGAGCACTCCGGAATTTCCAAGCGTCATTCAGCTCTTGCTATTGAATGATACGGTTCATAAAAATGAACAACTCATTCGCTTATTAAATGAGACGGACATTTTATTAGACGTTTTTTTTTCGTTCACAAAGCACGAAGTTTGCCTTGAGTTTTTTCAACGATATCGAGCTCGTTTCCGTCTCGATTAATAAACCATGTCTACTGATCGTGAGATAAGTAACTATGTGAACGAGTTACACTGTTGCACAAGGTGAACAATCATTCTACATAGAATTGCGGATTTAAAGTAGACAGTTTGCAAGATAAAATGTTGAATGTGCACTCGTTATCAATATCTGTTACCATTGAGTAACACAATTATGTTAGTTTCCTGTGTAAAATACTATTTATGCTTATGAACAAAATTAGATTTTGCATAGCCATGTTATGCATTTCTTCTCACAGATAAAAACATGCTTGATTTTTCTTTGAACAGTTCTTAATGTATGATTTAATCAATAAAATGTACGTAGTTCGAGAAGTACAATAATTGTCCTTGCGCTTTATATTCATTCCTTAAGAAATCAAAAATCATGCGTAGGTAATCGCGTAGCACGGAAAGACCTAAGCGAAGGGTATTGACGTCCCGTTTACTGAGGGTGAAGTTTTCATTAAAAGGGTTCTCGAAGACGCTTTCGGACGTTCCTGCAGGCAATCCCGTAGAAGTTGATAGTCAAAGGCGAGCACGGTTACGCCATGGGGTAGAAAATGGAACGAAAGTGTTTTTACACCCAGGAGGTCCTATAAGCTTAAAAAAAGAGCCGAACATGACACGAGGTTCACGCATCTCTTTCCTGTACGACAAGTTCTTTGTTCAATGCATTTAACAAGCATTTTTTCTTCCAATGTATGAACATACTAAATACATTATATACATCTTTTTAGTTTGTAAATATAATTTTATTATTCTGTGATATTATTCAGTAAAAACCATTTAACAAGTATTCTTAGATATATTAACGGCTATTTCTTAGATATATACACGACTGTAAGTTATATGTTTAAATGAATTAAACTAAACTTTCAAAACTGCTTACTTGACCTTTAACCTTTTTAATAAAATTAAGCATAATGTTTTCTCGCTTTTATACCTTTAGTTAGACCAAAGAATTGTGTAACTCTTTTGGATGACATTTCGATGCACAAAAAAATTTTCATACAATATTACGTAAAATTTCTAAAGCAACTGTCATTAAATTGACAAATTATACATAAATCAGCATACAGGTTTAGTTTTAGTGATGATGTTTAAAGCTAACATGAACTTGCATAAGGCTTCGCGGTCTGTTCACCAGGTAGACAGTTTTTCCAGTGATCCGGTTCATCAACGTCTCTCCCCGATGTCGCAAGGTTTATCTACATTTCATCTTGCACGATCTATTGGCCAACCGATGCTCGAACGATGCTCCTGATATTTAGTGTGCACGAGTTTCGCAACGCGGAGGCCGGGCAAACGTGCCGGTTCTCCATTATCGAATTAATTGTCAGAGAACTGATCCTTTTCGGAGAACAAACTCTTCCATCCGAGTTTCATGTAATAAACGAAACCTGTTTAACCGATTAATTTTTGCGTAAGGGAAATGATTAAAATTTTTGGGTTCTAATTGAACAAGCAAGTGGTAGATTCTAATTGAGACGAATGAATAATTTTATTCTTATCACATTCATTTATTTATGTTATTGTCTCGATTGTACGAAATTAACGATAGGTAAAGTGCATAACTAACGTAACCTCGAGTTAAGCAAATGTACTTTGTACAAAATCGTATGTTTATTTTAAAAACCTATAATAAAGTATAGCCTGAAAATACGATAAAAAACATGATTACCTAACACAATATTTTTAGAAATATCTTAGAAATGTAGATAATAAACGAACTATGATAGAACGCTAATGCGATTCAAATAGAACGTTTTATCTGGCGACAACGTAACGATCCATTCACTCGAAACGACAATTAAAATTAATTGTGGCAATAATAGTAAGGTTGCTTGGCCGAAGAATCTGCATACCGTTCAAAGTAAACGGCGTTTATAACTGAAGGGTATGCGAACATAGCCAGATGCGAAGAGGAGTGTATGTATGAACGTGTTACGTCCATGACCAGCAAGTTTATACCGATAATATGCATGATATTGTGATTTACATACCGCGAAAAAATAATTAAATTATTCATTGGAAGCGATCTTGTAA